CGTTTCTGTGGCGCTGTGTTGAAGTATGTATTGAAGTGTATTTTATGAAACAAATCTGCCCTTTATCCGCTTTCATTTTCGCTGCTGTGAAGCTCTAGAGAGTTTAGGATTCTTATGTTCTTCATGCCTTGGAAAACATGGCACGATAACAAATTTTTTTTCACTTGGAAGTTTTAACCTAGAGAAGTCACTATTTCGTTTATTGTGCAGTATTTAATTGTTTCTACTTATTCTTCTATAATACTGCTTATTTCTTACCGTTAGTATTCTCAGTGTTGTGCTATCGGGAGCCTGATTGTGAGCAGAAGGTAATTGGTTGCCATCAAACGTCGAGGGTTCATATTAAAAGGATTTTAGGTACTCAAAACATGCTCAAATTCCCTCAGAAATTTGCTGGTACATTTGAATGCATAACAGCTTTTTCAGGCTTCTGTTTAACAAATTTTCATAATTAGTGTGCACTCTTCTTTGTCAAGCTTCTTTTACAACTTTTTCTAACTTTTTTAATTACTATGCACTCTTCTTTGTCACTATGAAATGACACTCGTCCATGTGAATGACGCGTTCTAAGGTGAAGCTTGAATAGCTTTACCCGTATGCTTGAATATTCCCAGAACTACTCGAACCTCCGTATGTTTCAGAAAGTTCACATAATCACCTTAAGTAGTAGTGGAGAGGTGATGAGTAAAGTCACTCATAGAAAAACGCAGAGAAACCCTTGACAACGTTGAATATGAAACCCCTTTTTAGTAGCAGTGAAGCGACCTAGCATTGATATGCGGGTAGGGCTTGTGGTAAGGGCTGGAGCCTATTGTGCAGTCCTTGGGCTTTACCACTAGCGCCTTTATCTTGTGAATTTGTGGCGCCAAGAAGGCAAATGCTCCCACTCATTCCAGCGGACGGGCTTTATTTCGTCCGGAAATCCTGCACTTGCCTTTAAAGGCACGAGTCAGGATTGAAATGGTGTGGTATTTTGTTCGGAAATTTGGGAAGAAATGCGATCAGGAACTGCAAGATGGAAGAAAAAGCAAAAAGCGCCATTGAAAATACCGGAATTTCCCGGCCGACGGAGAGACACAGCGCTGCGAGGAGAGGGAAGACGCGAGAGCCATCGTACTCGCGAGGGCGCAGACGCCACAGATGCCGTGAGTGATAAGGACGGCAGCACGACAGCACACAAGACAAGGTCTTAGCGGCGTCTTCGCACTCTCAAGGTGCCGCCCAATCTGCGCTTGGGAACCCCCCTCTGGAAGGGTTCTTATTCTAGAAGGGACTCCTTCTTGATATCTATGCCGACTCATGGTTTTAAGGATCGCGTCTTACATCCACTACATTCACCATGGCGTCATTTGCCGTTCACCTACCAGGAAGGTCTTTCAGGGCGTGCCAAGCTTTTTCAAAACGGTCTTTTGCATGATATAGGGGCACATGCGGGAACCACAGAACCATGTTCAATTTTTCCTGAACGGCCCTCTGAATACCAGAAAAGGGGTAATGCCGAAAAGGAGTGTCCCTAGTCGTTTCTCCAAGGTTGACAAAGTTTCGCTTTTTGCGAGTTACGTGGGTTTGACGTTCATAATTACATTCATAGCTAGACATTCATAACTCCTGCGCGAATTTTGAAACGTCAACTCGAAATGCAAAAATTTGTCACCACGAGGAATCGAACTAGGGACCCCTTTTCTGGTATTCAGAGGGCCGTTCAGGAAAAATTAACCATGGTTCTGTGGTTCCCGCATGTGCCCCTATATCATGCAAAAGACCATTTTGAAAAAGCTTGGCACGCCCTGAAAGACCTTCCTGGTGTTAGCGCGAGGGTTATTTTGCTGTCGAGACAAATGGTGAATTGACTAGGATGAATCTCCTAGCATCCGATTGCGAAATGTGAATGACTGTGGACCAGTCGAGATTTCAGACTTTAATTGCTGTACTTGACCCAAAATCTGTACCTAGCTCGATCTTTTCGGAGAGATGTTTTTGTATAAAGTACTGGGTGGTCTATGTCGACCCGACGATTACATAAGTGTGTGAAATCGCAGAAAAAAAAAACAAAAATAACGTTTACTAGGAAAGGATGGCCACTACAAACAAAGTGCACTCACACACAAAGTCTATCATATAATATTATGAATTTTATAGATGAAAGTTTTCGTGACAGGTGAACGGTGATAACATTCAGAAGATTTATACGTGACCGGTATCAGTGCATATACATAAGAGATTCTGATGTCAATTTAGCGAGCTGTCCTTTCCGATAGTCCTCTATGAGAATGGGGAAGAAGGTGGAGAATCGGGTTCACGAGTGCGGCGCTGAAAATCAAAACTTAATTCCATATTTGTATTTTTTAATTACAATTTTATTATTATTTTTTAATTCTATTATTTTATTTATTTGCTTATTTATATCTATATTATTTTAACATTTATTTGCAATGTTTTTTAACATTTGTTTTGGTAATTGTTATTTTTATATGATATTTCATATCATTTTTGCATTATATTTTTTGTTATTTTTTATTATTTACATTTGTTATTTTTTGTGCTTATTTGTATGTAATGTGAATTTTATATAAGGTCTTAGGGTCCTCCAAAATGTGGAAAATATCCTTACCTTTTGAAGATCGAAAATTAGGTTTCAATTTGTATATGAAATTTATCTTCGGTCACCATCAAGTGAACGATGTCAGAGCTGTTGGCGATCAGGGATTCGCTAGCATCACGTTTCCTGCTAGCAACTACGGATTCTTTTTAGCGAATCGCCGGATTCGAAAAGTATGACACCAGCCTTACGCTGCGGAAGTGGTAGCAAACTTCATAGGAAATTGGTTGGGCGACGGTGAGTGGTTTCTCATACCCGAACCCTTGAGGAAGACTCCCCACTATTGAAAACCCTGTGGTATCGCAAACTACATACATCTTTCTCTCCGAGGACTGTGGTGGATTTAGGAACTTGCTGGTGAGCGCATCCAGTGACAGCATGAGCAAGGGATGATCCACAGACCACACAGCGTTCATCGGAAGTGCTTCTAAGTAATTTGACAGTTAGTTTCGAAAAACTGGCAAAGTCTAACAATTCACGCATGCACGCGCGTTCAGCTATTATTGCCCCTCCTCCCCCACTCCTTCCCGTCCCCCTGAACATTGAAGCTCTGAATGGTATCCTCGCCCACTGGGAAAAACGAAGCAGCGTGCACATGACACTGATTAATTGCTACTTTCAGGAAAAGCGGAACACCCTATTCGAGCTTTGTACGAAAGGAGAAATGGCTCGCTTTTCGCTTTCCCTTCCACGTGACATCTGGAGGTCATTAGCTCTTTGATGGATGCGCTAGACTTTGAAGTCCTAAATGGGGTTACGATGTAGTACCTCAATCAATCATTGTCACTTGCACTCCGTGAAGGGTTTTCCTGTACGTCATTATTTAGGGCTCTAGAGGGCAAAATAATGATGTAATCATTTCTTTCTCATATTAGAAGCACTCCTTAACTAAAATTTGCTGTCAAGCAAGAGTAGAAGTGACAGAGTTAATTACTTGGCATAGGTAGCGGTTGAAAGCATTCGCCGGTAATGATTTTTGGTGCAAGCCTTTTTTTGTCGGGTGGACAAATGCTTAAAAATAATTGCGGGAATTGCGCTTTAGAATTATTTTGACTCAAGGGTCACATTTCACTGACAGTAAATCGGTGTAAACTGGGCTTTGTCAGTTAACGATGTGGGCTACTAGTTGGCTGCAATGGAAGAAAAAAGAAAGAACATGGATAGAATAACTGCGTCTGAATGGTGCTTTTTTTCCTGCGGCGGTAAATGGACTGGTTGCCTAGAAAACTGCGCTGAGAGACAGTGTTACTCAGGACGAAGGGAGGCGAGGCGGGACATTAGAGAGGAGAGGCAGCAACTGCAACGATAAAATGAAAGTTGTTGTTGAGGTAGCCATTGCTGCAAGTTGCTGAGCCACCAGCGCCCGTTCATTGAATTGCATTTTGCGAAAGTACCCTATTTCTGCGATTGCTGGCCCAGCAAGCCCATTTATGGGTATGCTTCTCTATTCTCCACTAAAGAAGATGAGGGTTCAAAAATACTAAGAGCTTGAGGCGAACCAGTAGGATAGATAAAGAAGGCATGTGGTAGCAGGACACTTACGGCGGTGCGGTAATTATTGGAATGATATAGCTCGTAGGATATTCTTCAACACCTTTTGCGAACAGCGCGGTGAACATACACATACGTCCCAACATCTACTTGCGTGGAGGGCGTTATTTAGCTGAGTTTTATTGTGATTAATTTGACACTATTTTCATATTCCAACCTAAGACTGGTTCAAATTGCATTACCGGGTACGGGAAAATGGTATATTCATACCATTCAAATGAACTTGTTAAGTGAAGTGCTAACTATAGTGGAAAATTTGTAAAAAAAATATTGGTAAATGCGCACACAACAGTGGTCGCCAATGTAATAATAGTTATTTATAAATTGTCGGGGAAATAAATGCCTTGTAACCATCACTAACCGAGTTTTGCAGCTCGAAGAATGCGCATGCCTCACTACAACAACATTCTTACTGAAATGACAACATTTTTACAGTTTCGAAGTTTTTTTTATTATCTCCTGGAGGCATTTAAACTATGGTCGTTCTTTGTGGGGATATGAAACGAGTTCACTTTTAAGCCTTAAGACAGCGGTAGCACGACTTACAGGAGCCTGCTTCCTGCTTCCTTCTTTTGATTTTACAAATGAATGACTCAGTTATATACAAAATCAATAATTTTACTCAAAAAAGGTCGCCTCAGTGGAAAGATAGTTTGTGGTATAAAGGATAAAGGATAAAGCATTTGCCGTTGATCAATCCCTTTTTGGGATGCGGCACGCATTCTACTTCCATTTGTACATTCGTAGTGGCGTTTGAATGCGATGTGGCCTATACAATGACTTGCGGGGGCCAGCCGATGTACAAGTCAGTGTTTTTATCCTCCCAGACAAGTCTGGTACCAATTAACCGACCCCGGAGGGATGGAAGGCTTGGTTGGCCCGGGCGACTCACGACCCAGGATTTGATCCCCGGACCGCTCGCGTGGTAAGCGCGCCACTTGTCACTACACCACTTCCGCCCGTTTGGAGGTGATTTGAAAAATTGATATGCGGGTGCCCATTAGTGGCGTGTATGCAGCACCCAATTAGAATTGCGAAGCCAATTGAAGACGTACACATTCAGCCTATATTGTTTGTTGGCTTATGAAGAGCAGCAATCACATGAAATACTCGTCCGGAAACAGTGTTGCCGCTCTTCTGTACCTGCTCTGTCCAACCTAAGGAGATGGCAAGGATAGAAGACTGAGTTGCCATGAGTGGATCAGCCACTACCCAATTCGGACATCTTGAAAAGTGTCTGCAGGCGCTATTGCAAAATAAGGGGGTATTGTGGTGGCAGCATTTAAGCCACGTGAAACATTTAATTCTTGATAAATTCGGGGCTAAGCTATGAGGGTGTTGAAATATTCAGGAGGAAATGTTCATTTCTCGAAGTACCTGCCCCCTCCTAGGAATTGAGCATAGCCGAAGATTTTGTGGTGTGAAGTCAACGCAACTTTTTTCTGGCCGACGCCCATAATACGCCCGGTGCTAGCGCAATACACCCTTTCCCCGCTTTAAGTGCAATTCTAGGTGGTGGAGATAGTGTGCAATGAGATGTCGTGGGGACACACTTCACGCAGCTTCATGTTCGGACAATTGCAGCATCTTGAAAATACTTCCTAATGGATCCTCGAGTTACCCTGCCTACTACGCTTGGCTTATCCTTGCCGGGTCAAACGTCCATTTCTTCTCACCGCTGCCCTTTTTCTGCTCCCTCTCACCTTCCACTCCCGGGAGAGTCATTGACCCAGTATTCTTGGCACAGCCAACCTTCATTTGTAATTCATGAGACCAATCTTCGCTCATAACAGGACAAAGTCTTTTCTATCTCAGTTTTGCACTTTCTCGCTCAGAGGATTGATGTGAATACGAGTAATATTAATGATGGGAATGGTTGAGAATGGGAGGGTGGAGCTTAACTTCATAAAACTTTTTGGAAACAATTCGGAATTTCTAAAGGTGATTTTAGAGCTGGGTGATTACGGCGAAGAACAAAGGCCTGGTAGGAGAATGGTTTCATAGAAAGATCGAAAGAGTGACGAGATTTTCTGAGGCTTTAGAGTCAACTTTTGCTCAACCAAACTCACTTGCAATGGATGGAAATAGCCGCCGTTCTGAAAAAGAAAACATTAAGAGGCATATTGATTAATATTTTTTCATAGGGGAAAAAGAGTCTCGAAAAGAGGATTAACGCACCAATCCGATAGGACTCCGTTTGTCGAACCCAGTAAAGCCGCTGCCTGCAAGACTGTCGAACGCCCTCTTGTTGAATGGAGTCATTCCGAAGCCGCTCTGAAACAGGTTGATGTACATGTATAGAAAACACAAACGGCTCTCTCTTTTCTGCTGGGCCATACTATGAGAAGATTTTCTTTGTAGAGCAGAAGTTACAATTATCAAAACTTTTAATATATTATCAAAACATATCTAATATTATCAAAACTAAAAACACTTTTTCTCTGCTCTTGGAAATTTCTGAACAAAAAGGAAGTTCATGTGGAGGATACCACCCTTTCTAAAACTGTTTGTTCACGGAATGACGATAGCGTCTTTCCGGAGACATACAAGGTGTTCGAAGATGTTGTGTGAACGATTCTTCCGAACTCTACTAGTCACACTAAGTGTCGATGAAAGTGTCTTCTATAGAACAGTCGCGATAGAATTGGTGTGTTTTTTTTTGTTCAAAAGTAAGACAAGAAGAGCGGACAGGAACGTAAGCGGGGAAAAAAGCAAGTGAACCATAGAAAACACTGAAATTCTTCTTGTGAGAATGACCATGGTCTCACGACGAGAACAGCGCTGCGAGGAGAGGGAAAACACAAGACAGCACATCGCGCTCGAGGGGGCACAGACGCCATATACGGATACAGTGGATGAGAATAGGAGCGGTCGCAGCGGTGAAGCGAAGGCAATAGCCCCCGAGCGCGCACTTTGGGGTCGCGACATTATATCCCACCCTGTTAGGTGTCCTACTACTTTACCCAAGGGGTGGGGGATCTTTTATGGGTCGAATTGCGACCTGTGCCACTGACAATAATAGCTCCATTGGCTGAAGATACCGCATTTCCACGCCATAAACATGTGTCATAGTGGATACACTTAGTAAAGATCATAGAGAATCGTGCGCAGAACGTGAGGCTTTCCAGGCCTTAGGGCCGCTTTGCTTCCAATCTGCAGCATGTTCTTGTTGAAGTGCTCTCAGACCACGCTCCCTGTCTTTAATCTATCAAGAAAATAATGTTTTTTGGGAATTGACTTTGACATTCAATTTAAATTTAGGACTCTAAAGAATGTAAAAAAAAAACTATGCGGGTACGCCTAACTATACCTTTTTGTGCTATAATGCCAAAATGGGCCCACTAACTACTGAGGGCTACCATCGTGTCTATGTATTTTGAATTTGCGCCTACTCTGCGTCCTTTTTAATGCCTGGTTTTACCAGTTTAACACCGCCTTGTACCTACGCGATATTCAGCCCTATTCATGCTTGGTGTAATTATGGGTATAATTTCCGCCCTATTTGGAATAGGGCTGAAATCTTGTGCATGCATTCAAAAGTAGAATAAAAAGCGCTTCATCTCTCGAAGCACCACTTTGTTGCGAATGTAAGCTCCCTTCCCATGGGATTTAACTAAAACTCAATCATTCATGGTGGCTTACATGACTTCTTTTATAGTTAAAGAGCTTTTAGGGCTAAAGAATGCCAGCATGACGCCATTAACCCTGTGGTAAACATTTTTGCTTTCACGACTATCATTTTATTTATCATTTTTTTTTAGTATATACCAAGACCAACAAGCAGTTCTCTCATAGCCCAACACAAACAAAAAAAAACGAAGAAATCAGCTCTCACCAGGTGAATCGAACGCACGTTTGTTGAACGCTTCAAATCCTTGTCCTGCCTGTAAAATACGATTCCTTCACAAGCAGAATTGCCGTGTTCATAGCAACTACGAAAAACAAAGGAAAGCAATTTCCATAGAAGTTTCTGGCTGAGACCTCCTTTCTTCTTCTGAACGAGGCAAAAAGGACATTACTCGAGTTAATTTCTCGGCTCACTGCCTTACCGAGTACCCTTGACCAATACGCTCTCCTCCTCTCCCCTGGGTACGCCCTTCCGTTTTTATCATCACAAAATGCGGCCACTTATTGACGCAATGATTCAAGTGACTCCATTCATGCGTTCAGTGGATAAGGGGGGGGGGGGGGGGGGGGAGCGATGGGAAACGTTCAGTCATCCTCCTGAGTCAGGTCACTAGAGCTGCGCGATCATTGAAGCCCAAGGTTATGCTTGGTTTAGGCTTAGGCTTACGCTTATGCTTACACATTGGCTTACTGCTTAAGCCTATGATTGCCTGAGGTTCAGTCCCTAGGAATGCGAGCAAATGAGAGATGTCTTATTATAGATGACCTGAACTGGGGAGAAGAACTGAATCGCAACCTACAGTGTCTGGCCTCATCAGGCTTAAGGGGCGGGCTTGTTGCGTGCCGAACAGCTCATACACATGAAGTGGTCCAATTTTTTACGGGTGAAGGAAGCTCCGGATGGGTGTGAAAGCTTAAAGCGAAATGGTTCACGCATCCCGGGGATTCCCTTCCTTTGCGACAGTTTGCGAGTTTTTGTGCGAGACCTGCCACCTCCCCTTACCTGGATGATTATCCATATTATGTTTAAATCATAAAATTTAACTAGGATAGTGTTCACTTATGAATAGTAATGTTGATTTGCGTTTGATGGGATCTGATTAGTATGCATGCGTCTGACATATTTTCGAACCCTGATTGCAGTTATAAATCTTGTTTACGGTGGCATCTGCTATCATGAAAAGTTGATTCTTTAGAGCCTGTCGTTCTCGAGGCAGCTCAATTATGGAAAATTGCAAGCTTCGCGAGGAACAACAACTAGTTATTAAACAAAAAGACAAATAGAATGTTCTCGAATGTGAACATCAATTAAAGTCCACACTGACCAGGGTGTCAAATGCTCTCTTGTCGAAACCACTGAATCCGGATCCAGCCTAAATTAATGGCATTTTCAATTAATCATTTATTTTTATTATTACAAAAGTCAGTAAGCCAATAAAAAAGGTGAAATTGAAGAGAACTGACAAGCGAGTCAAATGCTCGTTTGTCGAATCCGCTAAAGCTGCCAGCCTGTAAAATTATCTTGTATGGCGAACTTTGGTAGACATAAAAAATAAAGGAGTAGGATTTCGATAATTCTTCAATAAAAACTGAATAAAAGTTAATGCAGTTAAGAGAATGTAAGTTAAGTGAAGGATGTGCTATAGAAAATATTGTTAACAGGTGCTGAATTATGCTCTATCTAAGCATTTATTATGGATCTTTGTGGGGCTCCAAGATGGCATAAAAGGATGAAGGATAAAGCATTTGCCGTTGATCAATCCCTTTTTGGGATGCGGCACGCATTCTACTTCGTAGTGGCGTTTGAATGCGATGTGGCCTAATGACTTGCGGGGGCCAGCCGATGTACAAGTCAGTGTTTTTATCCCTCCCAGACAAGTCTGGTACCAATTAACCGACCCCGGAGGGATGGAAGGCTTGGTTGGCCCGGGCGACTCACGACCCAGGATTTGATCCCCGGACCGCTCGCGTGGTAAGCGTGCCACTTGCCACTACACCACTTCCGCCCAGATGACATAATATTGAGAAAACATCAAGTTGATTTACCAGATGGAGGTACTATTGCTATCGAACAAACCATTGAAAGTACTAGTTGGAGGCCAAGAAATAATATCAGAAACGCTGTGCACATTTGCAAAACTGGCCCACCCTTCATCAATGCTTTCTGAAGTGGAAAATCATATCTCCTCTCCAACAAGGCCGTTACTTTAGAAAAACGCATGAGACAAAGAAAAATCTGCTTGTTTGATAGCTCGAAATGCGCATGCATACAATTAGTTGTAGCTTCGTCTATGAGCCCTATTACCCCGTTTATTTCGCTTGTAAGAAGTTTTGCTTGGGTTGTGTCCATTAGGGGTAGAACTGTGCAAAAGAGCGGCCATCAGTAAACCATTTAAATTTATTGTGAGAAACAAAATGCCTCAATGACTAGATCGGTAATCAAATAAAACACGGTAAGCAGTAAGCGGAGAAACACACGAATAAATAAAAAAAATTGAGGCTGAAAAATGAGACGAATACTCACGAAAGTGTCGAACGCTCGTTTTTGCCGTGACGGAGCACTTGAGATCAACGCCTGAAATGATTCTTTTATAGTCTTCCATGGAGCCGTTACCGTTCACCTCAAAAGGCTAGGCTACACTTGGCAGGAGAAATCGCTCTCAATTATTGATTCTGATATCAAAACCACTAATGATTTGAAGCTGTTCTAGTTCGATGTATGACTCAAGATAGACGACTATAGCGTGATAAAAAGGGGTGCTGATTTAGTCAGAAGCACTAGCCGAAGGAGGTATTTGATGGAATAAACCGTAGAATTGAAATGTGACGTCTCCTTCACTATGCTACATCGAAGTCCCAGAGAAGATATTCCCTTGCATCCTAATTCTCTCAAATCGACTGTTTAAGATAGATAGGAAAATATGCGTAACTACTTATTTATTCCGTGGACCCACAAAGCTATTAGAGGAGGAGCTCACACACTCCACCTTAACAGGGTCATCCGTCGCGATCGCACTTTTCCAGAAATTTGGCGAACCTCGCCTTCAATGGGTTCCTCGATGCGATCCTATCGTTCGAATAGTGCGAACGAACGGTTGACCCTTCACCTTATAGCAAGTGAGTTGTTCTGCCAATCTGATCATAGAATTTGTCTCTAATGTTGATTTACTATCAGGGATAAAGGATGAAACACTCTGCGTTAACCAATCCTTTTGGAATGGACCACGCATTCCGCTTCTATTCATCGTAGTGGCATGTCAATGTAAAAGGGCCCCTACAATGAATTGCGAGGGCAGCCGATGTCGAATGCCAATGTTTTAACCTTTTAGGCAAATCTGGTGCAGCAAAAGTGCATCGAAAGCTTGGTTACCTTAAGCGTTATACAATCAGTGAATAGACCCCTGGATCGTTGGAAGTGGCGTCACCTTCCACTACCATTGCATCTGAACGGCGCAGCCAGAAAACTTAAGATCCAATACTTGGGCTAAGCCCATCACCATGAACATACGTCTTTTCTTAATCCTCTGAGTTGTGGCCAAGGTTGCGCTAATCTCGTCTGTAAGAGGTCATAAAGCACATGACGCCCTCGTGGGGGCCATTGTTCACTGTGTGTAAGCTTTAGGCAAATAGATTTACGCATGCTCTTGATGAAAGCAATAAATAAATTGAGTATTCATTGCACAAATGCCAACCGTGATGGATGGTCACATCGGTGTGATGGTCCGAATAATTGCTACCGCAAATTGCACTGAAATCTTCGATCATATTTGATTAATTTTCTTGATTTTGTAGGGTTCATAAGAAAGTAAAGCCATCTGCCTTTGTGAGATCTTTCGAAAGAAACTGGGTCTCCCGAATATAAAATCGCTGATTATTGCGATCCTCGGCTGGACGGAGAAAAAGGGTTAGGTCATGTAAATATATCCCACCAAATACTAGTAGATTTAAATTATTATTTTGATTTTAAGGTATACTTATGATAGGTACCGGTATAGTGTGTAGATGCACCTAGGGTGGTTCCACTATTCTGCAACGGAAAGGATGCTGAACCAGGGAAATGGAGAGCTTTGCCTAAGGTGGAGGATCTTTAACGGTGGATGTCCTGGTGCAGAAAAGTGGATAGGATGTGGGCAGGAGGTGTGGAATGTAGGACATCCACCGGTCCTTATCAAAAGTACGCTCGAAATGAGTCGTTCACTTATTATCTTATCCGTAGTGTTAGAGTCCAAGGAGCGCTCTCTAGGACTACGGATAAGATAACAAGGAGTGCCCCCCTTCCAAAGTCGACATTCACCCCGAAAAGTACTAATGTGGCCACATATTATAGAGATGTCATCATCATCGCTTCAATCATTATTTCCGTTCCTTCTCTTCCTTCTCCTCCTTGGAACAATGTTTTCACTATTTATGAATTCTATAGAAATTAGAACAATCAAATGGTTCCGAACTTGGACCACACAAAATACGAACAATTTGGTAAGCTTGTCCCAAAGAAAACAAATCAGAAACTGGCACGGGATGACGCGAGAACTGTCACATGAAA